ATTTGGTATCAGAGCTCTCGATTTGAGGGCTCTGCTTCCGCATATATATCTTTTCCTTTCTTTTTACTGCCGTGCATCATACCGGCAACCATCCTTCCACACCTAACCCTTATTTAGTCACAAATTTCTTGTCCTCAACCTCGTATCATCAAGAAAAAGATCATCAGCCTCCGTTCATCGCCGGAAACCGCCACAAAACCACCGTCCGCCACTGTTCACCGCCGTCAGACTGCTTTTCCAGCGACTTTTCCGACCAACCACCACGCGATCAGGAGCGGCTCAGGGAGGCGACCCTGTCTGTCCAAGCCGCGTGTTGATCGGAGCATCCACGCGCCTCCACGCGCCGGTGGAAGTCTCCGGCGGCCGAACCACTGTTCCGGCGCGTGAGCCACCGTCCGGCTACCGTTCCAGGCCGGACCACCACCATCTTGCTCGCCTCCTCACCCTCTTTCCAGATCTGGTCTCCGTTCGTTGTGGGTCCCATCCGTTTGAAAGATATCAGTGAAAAACCCGCTGTTTGGACACTTTTGTGCAACGTTTTTGCGCGATTTCTTGCTTTCTTGTAGTTCTTTGCTATTTTCTGGTCATCTCCTTTTATTTTGTGATGGAGGGCTCAAATAATGCGTCCAAAAACACGACTGGCATCATCTCCGGCACTACCCCATCTCCATTCTTTTATCGGGCCAGTGATTCCAATTGGAATAGTGGACGCGGTCGCAGACGTGGCCGCAGACAAAGGCCTCGTTGCAATTATTGCCAGAATCTTGGGCATTTTGAAGAACGCTGCTATAGGAAGTACCCTCATTTGAAGCCACCGTCTGCCAAATTTGCTTAAACTGATGTTACGTCACCTTCAACTGGATTAGTAACTCTTTCAAGTGCTGACTATGAGGCACTTCTCAAGAAGTTTTCTTCTCAGCATCCTACTCAAGACACTGGTAATCATGTTGCTTGTTTTTATCAATCATCTCTTGGACCCTGGATAATAGACTCAGGTGCTACTCATCATCTTTGTGGTAATAAAGATCTCTTCACTTCACTTTCTTATTCTAATAACCTACCCCCTGTCACTCTTGCTGATGGCACTAAGGCTTCTGCTCGTGGAATTGGGGAAGCCAACCCAACTCCCCTTTTAACTTTGAGTTCTGTTTATTATATACCTGACATTCCTTTTAATTTAATCTCTGTTAGCCAGTTGATTCATTCTCTTTCATGTACTATTACCTTCTCTAAACAATCCTTTTCTATGCAGGATTCGGGTACGGGGAAGACGATTGGAGCAGGCGTTGAGTCACGAGGTCTCTACTATCTGATTGCACCACCTTCTCCAGTAGCCTGTTCTCTCACAGAGTCTCCTGAGCTAATTCACAGCCGTCTGGGTCATCCAAATCCAAACCTCTCCAAGCTTCAGCATATGGTTCCCTTTTTATCCAATCTTAAGTCTTTAAACTGTCATTCTTGTCAACAAGGAAAACACACTCGCTCCTCCTTTGCTAATAGAGTCAATAAAAGAGCTGATGCTCCTTTTTCTATTGTTCATTCTGATATTTGGGGTCCGAGTCGAACAACGTCTGTTTTGGGTTTTCAGTATTTTGTCACCTTTATTGATGATTTCTCCCGTTGCACTTGGGTTTATTTAATGAAAAATCGTTCTGAGTTATTTTCAATTTATCAAAAGTTTTGTGCAAAAATAAAAACTCAATTTGGTGCTTTTATTCAAATCTTGCGCAGTGATAATGCAAAAGAGTATGTGTCTCTTGAATTTTCTAAATTTCTGGATACACAAGGGACGATACACCAGACTACCTGTCTCTACACTCCACAACAAAATGGAGTCGCTGAACGTAAAAATAGACATCTAGTTGAAACTGCACGTACCCTTCTCATTCATATGAACGTCCCACTCCGTTTTTGGGCAGATGCTATTATCACCTCATGTTTCCTTATCAACCGCATGCCCTCTTCTGTGCTAAATAATGATGTTCCCCATAGTATTTTGTTTTCCGGAGCACCTTCTTATCCTCTGCCTTTACATATTTTTGGTTGTACTTGTTTTGTTCATGATCTTACTCCAGGTAAAGACAAGTTGACATCCAAGGCCTTCAAATGTATTTTCCTTGGGTATACACGTTTTCAAAAAGGGTATCGTTGCTATTCTCCTGATCTCAAGCGTTATATATTTTCTGCTGATGTCACTTTCCTTGATCAACAGCCTTTTCACTCTACTCCGTCTCCAGTGTCCCAAGTTGATCAGGTCCTTCCTGTTCCTTTTCTTGACTTGTCTTTACCAGCTGCAGGTGACCCTATTCCAGAGGAGCAACCAATTACCTCCATACCTGCAGATCGTCCTCTCCTCACATACCAGCGTCGTCAGCCTGCACCTCCTCCGACTTTGCCTCTTGATGACTCATCGCCCTTTCCCGTCGGCTCTTCTCCTCCAGATCTTCCATCAGAGACTCCTCCCATTGCCCTTCGGAAAGGTATTCGATCCACTCGAAATCCTCATCCCCTTTATTCTTTCTTGAGTTATGACAGACTTTCTTCACAACATTTTACTTTTGTTTCTAGTCTCTCTTCTGTTTCCATCCCTAAAACCACAGGTGAAGCACTATCTCATCCAGGGTGGCGCCAGACGATGCTTGATGAAATGCAGGCACTTCACTCCAATGGCACTTGGGATCTTGTTCGTGCTCCTCCCGGGAAGTCTGTTGTTGGTTGTCGATGGGTGTTCACAGTTAAAGTTGGTCCTGATGGCACTGTTGATCGCCTTAAAGCTCGCTTAGTGGCCAAGGGATACACACAGATCTTTGGTCTTGATTATGGGGATACCTTTTCTCCTGTTGCTAAGATGGCTTCTGTTCGCCTGTTTCTTGCCCTTGCCGCCATTCATCACTGGCCCCTTCTCCAACTTGATATTAAGAATGCTTTTCTACATGGTGACTTGCAGGAGGAAGTTTATATGGAGCAACCACCAGGTTTTGTTGCTCAGGGGGAGAGTTCTGGAATGATATGTAAACTTCGAAAATCTTTATATGGCCTGAAGCAATCTCCTCGGGCCTGGTTTAGCCGCTTCAGTTCAGTTGTTGAATCCTTTGGATTAATCAGAAGCAAAGCCGATCATTCTGTCTTTTACCGGCATAGCTCTTCTGGCCAGTGCATTTATCTCTTGGTCTATGTTGATGACATTATCATTACAGGCAGTGATCAGACCGGGATTGATCAGTTGAAAGAGCATTTATTCAATCAATTTCAGACCAAAGATCTTGGCAGACTTCGATATTTCTTGGGGATCGAAGTTGCACAGTCTAGGCGGGGCATTTCCATCTGTCAGAGGAAGTATGCACTGGATATCCTAGATGAGACTGGCATGTTAGGCTGTAAACCCATTGATACACCTATGGACCCCAATGTTAAGTTATTACCAGGACAGGGGGAGCCACTGCCAGATCCTAGTCGCTACCGCCGACTACTTGGAAAATTGAATTATCTTACTGTGACAAGGCCAGATATCTCCTTCGCAGTGAGTGTTGCAAGTCAATTTCTTGATTCTCCCTGTGACTCCCATTGGGATGCAGTTATTAGAATTCTCCGATATATTAAAAAGGCGCCAGGAAGAGGTTTATTATATACGAATAAAGGGAGTTAAGAGATCTCTAGTTATTCAGATGCTGACTGGGCAGGTTCTCCTTCAGATAGACGATCCACCTCAGGGTATTGTGTTCTTTTCGGAGGAAATTTTATCTCTTGGAAGAGTAAGAAGCAAACTGTGGTCACCAGATCCAGTGCAGAGGCAGAATATCGGGCAATGGCAAATGCAACCTGTGAGCTCATCTGGCTGAGTCAATTGCTGAAGGAACTCCATCTCTGTGAACAAAGGCCTATGAAGCTCATTTGTGACAACCAAGCCGCTTTGCATATATCCTCTAACCCAGTCTTTCATGAGAGGACCAAGCATATAGAAATTGACTGTCATTTTGTTAGAGAAAAGATCCAGTCAAGGGAGATCGAGACAGCATTTGTCAATTCCAATGATCAACTTGCGGATGTATTCACTAAAGCTCTTAGAGGTCCCCGAATAGATCATATTTGTAACAAGCTGGGAGCTTTTGATATATACACACCAGCTTGAGGGGGAGTGTTAGAAATAATATTAATTTATTATTATTAGAATAGTCTAGAATAGTCTAGATTGTGGGCTTGGCCCATTAGGTCATCCCATTAGGTCTTTTAGTCTCTATAAATAGAGAGCCTCCTTGTACAGACTCACACACTTGAATATACAATATATTTCAGATTCACTTACCCTCAAATATGGTTTCAAGGACTCATTCCCATGGAAGTAGTGGAAACCCATTGAGCCTCCCTTGTCTTGAACTACTGCTAATTAAGTGATATTTGACCTTATTCTAATGTTCAACTATGACAAAATTGTGAATGTTGGCTTTTAGTCTCATACTTCAACTAGTTCATAAGGGCAATTAATAAAAAATAGTTGTGTACTTTTGGTCCAAAATTGACATTGCTGCTTATGTTCTGTCATCATTCAGTTGCTTTGGATGAATTGGTAAAGAACAAAGAAACTCCTAGGTTTGATTCCTTGTTTTTAAAAAAAGGTTTTTCTATTATTGTCCTTCTGAACTGCATATTTTTGGGGATGGAGATATCTGTGATCCTTGGAAAGGTGTTATAATGTTAGTTTCAACACAATAGTGCATATAACATGCCTTCTAGGCTTCTGGTCCAATAGAGTATTAAATATATTTCCAAATTCAGACGATTTTATTTATTAGACTTTTGTTTTTGTTTTCCCTTTTTTTTCTTTTTCTTTTTTAATTTAAAAAACTGCTGTAAATTATGCTTAAAAATTCAACTGAATGTGAAATCTGTCTTTTGTATATTGTAGTACAGTTAACAACAAAGCTTCAAACAGATGCAACTGAATATCTTTAGATACAATCATCAACTACCTTTCTACATTCTCCTAAAGCCAAGTATTACAAAAGATTGTTGGATGGAAGAGCAACAATGTTAAGACGCAGGTGTAAAACCCAGTTGTGGTTTCTACACATCTCGATTCCTCATTGATTTATCTACATAAAGAAAATCTTCAATCCAAGCAACAATGTTGAATGCTAGGCCTTCTAATACTCTTGAATAACTCTCTAGTACTGCTTTCCCTACATCCTGCAAAAGATAATTCTCATTCTTAGACCAAGTGCTCACAATTTAAACATCTGTTAGTTTACATCCATCTAGTTCACTCTTTTCAATGAATAGATATCCATATAATGGTGTCCTAAACTGTTCTTCGTTTAAATCATAAACGAAAAATGGCAAATCCTAGTGCACAAGGCTTCTTAACTTGCGGGAGTAGGGGTGATGATTAATTGTACGCATCTTGCCCTTATATTTTTTTTTGCAAAGATACTGTTTTCAAACTCGAATCTATGACCTTCCGGTTACAAGAAGACACTTTATCACTGCTTCAAGTCTCTCACTTGTTAAATGAAGAAAAAAAAAATGAAATATCTTGGCCTTATGCTATTTTCCAAAGCTACACATATGATATGGCTATATATAGATTGCTGAACTTACACGGTTATATTGAATCTTGCATGTGTCCAAAGAAGATTGTGAAAGTTCAGGATATCTTTGCTTCAAGCAGAACAGTAAAGTCTCAGCTCTCTCTGCTAAGATGTAGTTTTTGTCCTTCTTGTCGGTGTCAGCCATGAGATTCTTTACTTTTTTCCATGATGACTTTGAATGGTTTAGACAAGCTTTACGTCTCCATGTGTACATTGATGATTCAACCCTGTCTGCTAGCTCTAGTGCTTCATGTTCAGAACTTATTTTGAGAAAGTCAAGAAGGTGATCAGGTGAGAACTTGTCTGCATTATACATATGGTGGTAAATTGTGTCCCCTAAACTTGATCTTCCACTCTGAAGAAATGAAGGTTTGAAAAGAGTAAAAAAAAGATTGATTAAGTTTTAGTCATTTTGATAAAAATATGTGAATGCATACTAATAAGCATGATAACAATTCTTCTCCTGCATTAACTTTATCAGTCTTAAATTTTTATAACTAATTTCAAGGGAATAGGCATAAGATTAATATATCATCTAATTGGATTTGCATTCTGCTAGTACCTTATATGAAATTATATCATCCCGTTTTCTACATGACTCAGCTGCTATTATTGGCTTCCATAAAAGGCTTATGAAATTTGATGATAAATTCCATGACATTTGCTTTATGGGATCACATTTAATGGAATCCTCAATCACTTGGCAATAGAATGTCAGCTGGAAAAAAAAAAAATGCAGACTCATTCTGAGATTTCAGTTGAAACTTTCAGACTGAGACTTTCATAAACAGAAATGATCTTTTAACAATAGGGATATCCAATGAGGACTAACCTTGGGAAGATCATCTATATATGTTTCTGGTATATCTATTTCTGCAAGAACATTGCTATTTATTGCCATGGATGCTTTATGAATTTGATTAGCACAATCTCGTTTCTCAATCAAGTGCTTCCTTGACTTATCAGAGAGGCCACCAGGGAGAACACAAGGAACTGGCAACCACCATTTCTCCTCTTTCCTTGGAACAATCTTTCGAAATGAGGCCGCACGTAACCGAGTTGAATTCCCTGGAATGTTCTCTGCATACCAAAATTCAGTATCCTGGAAAGTATCCAATATTTCCTGCAAACAATAATCATGTTTATGAGCCACAAGAGAAGTCTTAATGAAAATTAAGCTGTTACATGGAAGAAGCAATTGAGGTTTATCTTACTATGAGCATTGTGTCAAGCTTCTGCAATGCTGGGAGGTTGACATAGATGTCTGACCTTGGCCTACTTTTCATCATCTGAGAAACAACATGAGATCATATTAGATACATATATAGAGATGCCAAACAAGGTCCATTAAATTTATAGCTATGATTTAGCAAAGCTCACCTCCACAATTGTGCCATCTTCTAAATATTGTGCAGTTGGGGCAAATTCCACTATGTAATCACACACTGATAGAAGAACCTTCATTTCCCTTTTCCACATAGCCTTCTTCTCAGGCTTCAGTGGCTCCAACTTTAAATTTTGTCCAAACACAGTTGCTGAAGAATTCCCAATCCAACCATGTTCAATGTCAATAAACTTGACAAACAAATAACCTTTTTATCAGCCTATGGCTAATGATACTATTAAAACTTAAAAAAGAATTACCATAGAGATTGGTAATGGCATTTGAGATTGTAATTGCAGTGCAAACACCTTTACCACCACCAGACATGTCTTCTCCCAGCAGAAGTTTTGCAAATTTTTCCTTCATCATATCAAGCTCAGCTAATGTAGACAACATTAAGTTAATTACTATTGAAAATTTTACATATTCAAAGAGGAAAAGTTCATCACAAATGCACAAGCTTGTTCAAACCAACCTGAATCCAAGAGATCACAGTCATCAAGTGTATCATCCACTGAATGCTTGCGCAGCTTCATTCCTAGCCTGGAAAGAACAGCATGTTTAGCTCCAGGTTTAACATTTCTCCACTGAGAAGGTGAAGGTTCACTTCCATAGCTGCTCTCATCAACAATCTCTGAGAAGTTTGATGCCTCTGAACTTGAATCACCACTCATTGTGGAGAAAGCAGGAGTAGCAGTTGCTGAATGATCCACAGAAGGAGAAGGGTGATAACCCTCATAAGAATTCTCATCAAAGTTTGAAGATTTATCCATCTTAGATCAAGAATTTATGATCAACTTCCTCAACACCTGCATATAAACATGAAGGTTGAGTCACAAATTGAACTTTGGGGCTCTAAATTTCAGTACTTGATGATCACTTTGAGACATACTAGGATATATAAGCATGACATAGAACTCAAGCTTAAAATATGCAATTTTGATTGAAATCAAACTATAGATATAGAAAACAAAAGGGAGAAAAAGGGATATCAAAAGAAAAAGCAGAAAATTTGAATGTTCTTGTCCTCTAAGGAAAAAAAAAAAAAAAAAAAGCAAAATCCCCCAAAGAATGTTCCTTCTATTGAGTCTCAAAACAATTCACTGAAAAACGTAGCAAAGGGTTGTGACAACAAAACAAAAACAATAAAGCAATCTTGGACAACTTTCCGAGGTTGAAACTAACTGAAATTTAAAACTTCAAAACAAACGGTTAGAAATAAAAAGCAAGGGTGCCCAGCATTCTTTTGCATTGTTACCTTTTTATGTGTTAGATTTGAATTTGAAGTTTAAACTATAGCCTAGTTAACAACGTTTGAAACTGTTCCCTCCTAAGAGTTTGTAACTTTATCTTCTTCCCTGAGGACTTTCCATGCAAAAGAAAGAAAGCCGTATTTGAACAAAACCAAACAAAAGGCAAAATTATTGTCCTTTTCATATTGCTCCTAATAATAAATTAATCATAATCCAATTATTTTCCTTATATATATATATATATATATATATATATATATATATATATATAATAATAATAATAATAATAATACATCACTTTATGGTTGGAGTATATGATAAAATAATGGGATAAGATCCGTTTACAATCTTTTTTTGTAAATTACACTAAGTACGACCGATCGTACACTGCATGATTAAAGTATGACCGGTCATATTTAGTGTAGTTTGTAAGAATTTATAAATAAATTTTTTTGTAAATGTAAACTGCCCCTAAAATAATAATATAAGTGTACAAAAAAAGGAAAAGGAACCAGTTATAATCAGATGGTGAAAACTACGGAAACATGAGTTGATGTATGTATAAGTAAATGTACTATTTAGATTACAAAAAAAAAAAAAATGTACTCTTTAAAAAAACATAAACTGTTGTTTGAACATCAGTTTATAATTCCTGAAATGTTTTGATCACTTATAGTTATAGCTGCATTTGAACCACGTGAATAAAAGAACAAGATGCTTTATTTACTCTGTACATCGGTAGTACATACATCAATTCTGATAAAGGAAAAAAGGTGAGGATTCAATGAAAAATAGTAAAATATATTTGGATTGAAATGAGATAAAACTTTCTTTATATAAAAAGAAGATGCACCGAGTTGGATGCTACAGGAGTATTAAAAAAAAATTCATATATTAGGTGTCAACGTTTTAGGAGATGGAGACAACACCATAATAATTCCAGTACCTTTCCTGAAATATATAATATACCCATCAACACATAAAATCCGTTTTATCTGTCTATATCTAATATTTATTTAAGATAGAAAAGGTCTAATCAAGCTTAAAACTATGATTTAGAAACAGGATCCTAGTTCTTCAATTTTTTTTTTCTTGGTAGAAAATTTGATACAGCTGGAACCTGTTGGGATCAGGTTAGTTTGATAAGCTCACATCACACGTGAACAATATTAAAGTTGATGAAAAAACATTAATTTTGTAAATAATTAATCTTTATTACAGGCTTTTTTCTTTTTCTTTTATTCATTGGATCAATTATTATTATTTTTTGGGTATTGATGCTGCTTCTCATATGCTATTGTTTATACAGAAAATGAAAAATTCTTTTGAAGGTGCTAAGACGTGCACCCCATTTCTCCCAATTTTGTCTGTCAAACTATAACTTGATGACTAGTTGAGGCTTGATAACAACACCAAGAATATATGGTTGTTATTGCCGTGTTTAAGATTAGAGTTCAAAACAATCTCAAATAGTATGCATTTTCTTATTTTTAAAGTGTTGGTTGGTTTAATTTTTAAAACTATTTTCAATAGATTTATATAGTCATAGATTAGCTTTGGTGATATGTCTCTGGAGTTTTCTTTTATGGTAGCTGAAGATCGTTGAATGAGTATTCACCAAATATGTGGTTAAGCTAAGGGATTATTTTAGCTTAATCAGTGATTTCAATTTAAGTCCTTGAGATTGTAGCTGTGTTAAAATTTAAAACTTAATAGGGAGAACTTGGTCGTCCATGTGATCCTACTCGACTCGAATCAGACTAATCAAATAATGATGAACCAATGGATAATATCCTTGCGAGGACCTAAACACGGTAGTCAATAGATGAATAATGCAGAGAATGCAAATAAGGTAAATACGATAATAAATTAAAATTAAAATTGATGATGCTAATTATTCTTCTTTGGTTTTTTTTTTTAAAAACAAAAATCTTTAGAACTCATTTTACTACATAAAAACTATATTTTCCACCAAGATTTTCTCTCCAGATTCAGAATTAAACCACAAATTGAACAGCTTCTTAATTAAAAAAATAAATAAATAATTTAAAAATAATTCTAATGTGTATGTATGTATACTTATTCCGAAGTTAATATTTTAGTCCTCCAAATGTATAAGTAATGTTAGTTTGGTCATCCAAATTTCGTTAATAGTAGAAAGTGCAATCAAAATTAGAAAATAATAATATAGAGTTAATTAATCCATATCAGCAATTCAGCAAAATTGAAAAATTAGAAAATAATAATATAGAGTTAATTAATCCATATCAGCAATTCAGCAAAATTGAAATCACCTTTTATTATTGAAGAACTAAATTAATGTCTTTGAAAGACCAAATTGATATTTTCTTTTTTAAGATACCAAGTGTCCCAAATTTTAATAGACCCGATTAATCTGATTTTGAATTTGTGGCTCTCCATTATTTTTAGGAATTATAACATTTTGTAATAATTAATTTTTTTTTCGAAAAATATTTTTATTTTTGTTATAGAAAATATTTCGAATCAGAATCTCCCGGTATCTCCACGGGTTCGACTCTTTGAGCCGCCTATGAGACTAATCCAGAGTTCGGGTGCGAGTTCAAGAATTACGGTACTTATGCTCCTCCCCAGATGGTGTTGGTGGGATTCGAACCGAGGTCCTTTCCCACCACTCAGTCTCCATGCTACCAACTGAACCACCACATTTGGGTCATATTTCTCTATCTTACTCACATAAAAGTGAGTGAGTTTTATTAACTTTTTCTCTATTTTTTTTCACAATAGAATTCACTTATTTTTACGTGAGTGTCATATATAAATATTTTCCGTAAAAAATATTAAACCTTTTTTTTTTCTTTCTCTCCAAGGGAAAAAACAGAAAAAGAAAATGGAAAGATAAAAAAATGGTTGTATGTGATGCACTCCATGGGCAAACTCGACTAGTTGCATGAAAACAAAGTTTATGAACAAAAGTCATTTGCTCATGATGAGGTTAGTATTTTTTTTTTGTCGTATTTGGGGATTGTCCCGATGACTTTTGTAGGGTTATTTTTTATTTTTAATGACAGTTTCATAATTTAGCATTTTTTATTTCAATTGCTTTACATGATAGTTTGAGACCAATTTTATCAATCATTGCATTTCAGAATATTTGTATCATTTGTCCAGAATAAAAGATTCTTCTTATCCATTCTAATTCGTTCGAAGGCCCATTAGATATGTATTTCGGCGTTAGTGTGTTTCTTAACCCATACCTCAAATAAACAACTAATCCTCCTTTGGAAGAGGTTTTACTCATAATTGTTTGAGTAACCTCATAATCTAAAAAAAAGAAAAAGAAAAAAAACTTGTGCAATATAGCTTCATTGCGATTCCTATTAAACTCAAATGCAATTACACATTTGAAAATATAATAGTTTATGTTCGATCTGATGGATCGAGGTTGTTATAGGATTTGTGAACTAACAATATATATGGAAGAGATAATCGTAAGTGGCGACAATTCATTGTGCATCGAAGGGACGTGTATATAATGATAAATATAAATATTAGGGTTTTAAGAAAGCATATATATGAGACTTAACCCTGAAGAGACTTACATGATATTGGACAAGATCCATTTAGAAAATTGATGGGCCATTATGTGGGCCAAGAACAACTTATATATGTGTTTCTTTAACTATAACACAACGCTTTAAGATTTTGAGTTGAAATAATTTTTTGATGGGCTATTATGTGGGCTAAGAAGAACTTATATGTGTGTTTCTTTAACTATCATGTTAGAGAAATACAAAACTATTAAACAAAACTTATATGTGGTATCAGAGCTGGAGTAATCAAGTGGTTACGAGTTCGAGCCTCATCACCTCTAACTTTGTGATGGAATTAAATAAGCATAAAATAAATAAAAAATGAACCTATGTAACACAAGGTAGATAAAAAAATAGATTTGTGCAATATTCATACTTCAAACTCAAATGACTCTTCTATGAGAGGGTCTGTTATAAAGATATAAAAATCATTAATGTAGCCTCACTCAACATGTTCAGATTTTGAGTTGAATTGATTCTTTACATGTCCATTACTAATTTATCTCTATATGAAAAGGAAGGGTTTATTCTTTATTTGGTACATAAAAGACTAACAAGCACACAGCTTTGGACTAGCCCAGAAATGAATTAAAAAAAGCACACAGATTTGTGGTTGGAAAGTGGAAAAAAATTCTAAAATAAAATAATCCTTGCATTAAATAGGGTTCGTTATTGCTAATCGGTAGCAGTTTTCCATAACATGGAGGGTAGTTAACTATCTTACCAACCATATAAGTCTGGTCTGGTCTGGAACGCGACTTGCGAGCAGCTGTCGGCTGACTGGATCTGGTTTAGATCTAGATCTGGATGGATTGTGACTCAATTAGACCGATGATGGAGGAAGAAGCAAATGTTTCAACTTCCAATAACGGAGATTGAGATTTGAGAGGAGATGAATCAATATGTATATGCAAATGATGGGTCTGGAATAGAGCTCTCTGCTGTTAGATTTGGATAATAAAGGTGGAAGAGAAAAAATACTCATGGGAAAATAAAATAGAAGGAGAAAAATTAAAGGGGCAGGATATCGTAACAACCAACTAGGGTTATTACCAATCAATTTCACCGTTAGATCGATTATGTTGATCCAATGGTTATATTTATTTTTATCTTTGTATGGTTATGATCCCCCATATTTGATGTAAAAACATTAAATAGTGAAAATAAATATAAAGTATCAAATATGGGGAATCATAACTATAAAAAAATGAAAATAAATATAACCGTTGGATCAACATAATCGATCTAACGGTGAAAATTATTGGTAATAATATTAGTAGTAACCCTAATTAATTGTTATAATATCTTACCCCGAAATTAAATTAAAAAAACTTGAATTTTAACATAAGTGTATTTTTGTATTTTTACTCATATTTTAAGGGTAGGCACTTGTCCCCCTTCTCATCTACCTCCATCCGCCTCTGGCTCTATATATGCTATTAAATTTAGACTTGTTGTATCTTCAATAAATGCCATGTACATCAAACCAACAATAGACATAGAATAGAACACAGTAAATTTTCATACCATACAACTAATACCTGATCAAGTTTTTCCTAACTCATCCAAAACCTTACACTGCCTTTTTTTTCTCTTTTATTTCACAATGAGAATAATAAAGGAGACGAACGAGAGTAGTTGTAAAGCTGTTCTTTCATGACTGAAAGATCATGGATTCGAATCCAGAAAATACTCTCTTTGTAATTATACAAGGGTTTAATGGAGAGTGATTTTTATTTCACAACGAGAACAATCGAAAATACAAATTCTTCAACTAAATATGTACATTTGTAGACCAACAAAGTCTTTCTGTCTATTTAAACCAGTTTAACAACTTAGAGAGCATCACATATAAATGCAAATCATATGTTGAAAACATATATTATTATCAGTGTGATCCACACTGATAATGAATGAAAAGATATTAACTTTTATAACCATTCACAACTGAGCCTTAATCCCAGCAAAATCTCTGACTGTGAAACCCACCTTTTCAAATCTTCCTCTTTCATTGTTCTCTCTAAATTTCAAGTAGTCCAAGCACACAAATGGTTTGTACTTCCTCTTGTTTCCTTCTCCAATAACTTCATCTGGTGCTAAGATCACCTTGTCATCCTCAAAGCACCAAAAGAATGCAAGAGAAAACCTGTTAACTGGATGCTTCAAAACAACTTTATGTTCTGAGGATCTTAATTTGTCATTACTCCAAGCTTGCAGCATATCCCCTATGTTCACCACTAGTGTCCCTTCAGAGGGACATATATCTATCCACTCTCCCTCATTTGATCTCACTTGAAGCCCTCCTATCTCATCTTGATACAATAGAGTAATACAACTCATATCAGTATGCATAGCAAGCCCTTCATCTTCCATACAATCTGGAGCTGAGTAATTGTTTATCCTTAAGTAACCATGGCACTTGTCAAATTCAGAATCATAAAACTTCTTCTCAATGCCATCCCCTAAGCACATCAACACAAGCTTTAGAATCCTCTTTGACAAATTTTCCATCTTGCTGCCATATTCTTGTAGTATCTCACTATTCAAAACATAAAAATAGAAATAAACTTAAGACACAAATTAAGAGGCATCAAGTTGCTAAAACTTAAAGCTTAATGGATGACAAAGTTCTTATCCTTTACCTGAATTTGGAGTCCTGTTTGTCAAAGAGGGTTTCTTCAGAACTCTTAGCAGAAACATAATAGTTGGGTCCATTAACTCTGAGGCTCTCAAAGAATGGAGAGGCAATGAAATGAGGGGTGTAAGACTTTAAAGATGAAAAAGGACCAAGTCTAAGTTTAGTATCAGAAGGGAGGCTAAAAAGGTGGTTGGATTGTGACTGGAGCTTTCTGCAAAGATCTTTGGAGATTCCATGATTGATTATGTGGAAAAATCCCCAATCTTTGCATGCTTTAGAGAGACAAGATAGAGAAGATGGCTGCAATGGTTTAGAAATGTCTAAAATGGGAATGTCAGCATAAGGTTTGGAGTTAGACATTATGCCTAGGATGTGAAGAAGAGATGATGTATTTTGCTACCTAAATTTTTGGTTTATTTAATGTGTAGAAAGTTTGGTCAGAAGCTCAGAGCTGAAGAAGGGAAACTCTAGCTGAATCTAGAAAGGATATTAATTTTGTCAATTAATGGGAGAACTGAGAGGTGCCACCATAGATATATTGCAAAAAGATAAAAGCAAAACTAATTTGTTTGGTGACTTTGAGTAGTTTCATTAAGATATAACCGAATGACTCTGGAAATTAATCATTGGTCTAAAGTCTAAACTGAATGATTATGGGCAATCATGAGTCTATGACCTTGACAACAATCAGGTGCTACCATTTTGAAAAGGCTAGTGATAAAAGGGGGCCATCAACAAGGATTAGAAATTCTGTCAATAAAAAAAGCATACACTTAGTTTGCTGGTAGGGGTGAGAGCATGTGTTTGATCTTCCACAGGACCATCTTTGAGAGGAGTTTAAAACCTTAATACCAGAATCCGTTCCGAATCGAACTAGTCCCGAAGCGATGAACCGATTGGAATATCTCCAAAAAATAAATAAAATAAAAATACACTTTTACCACCCTCTATTGTTTGCTGAAAGAGAGTACTTCACTATAGTTAATACAAATATTAAATGGAGAACATGATATAAAGATTGATAATAAGAATTAGGTAGCAAGAGACTTCTTGGTTTAGCAAGGACTAGCTTGTAAACAATGGTGGAGTCAGAAAATTTTGTGACAAGGGGCAAGGAAAGCCAAGTTCACACTAACTTAAGCAAGATAATATGATAGTGGATCGATATGCAATCAAATTTAAAGAAACATATTACCAGGAATAATAAGGATAAAGCAAACAACCTCTTTGGACTTATGCAAGAATAATGTTACGTACAAGATTACCTCCACCTCACACTCGTTAGTCGGGTTTAACAGGGAGTAGTTTGTTTTTTAATAAGGATGAAGGGAATAAACTTATGCTACCCTACCTTTCTTTTTAATCTGAAAGTAGTCTAAGGCAAATGTTTGATGAAATTAAGGAGGGCGATTGCCCCTCCCCGGCTCCGCCACTCCTTGTAAGCAAGATGTCAACCTGGTATGCTTGGAAATCAGATTCTTCAATGAATATTTTGACCAAACCTAATACTTGGTCAATATATTTTTTAGAGCTAGAGACCTGCTTCAACTGAAACAAGCATAATTTATTTACGAGTACAAACTCAGCATTTATCAGCTTCAGATAATGACTACATACATAGTTGTATTGTATGTTCCCCAAAACGGCATGCACCAGTTAGGCCCAAGAGACAAATACTTAAATAGTTTGTGTATTGTTTTTCAAAATGGATTTGTTAAGTCTTACATTTGTACAAAGTGCATACAGAATATATCATACCAGAACTATACATGCATATGGTTAATTTACTACATCGATTCCAAACCCCTCCTCCCTTTTAATTACTGTTCAAGACAAAGTCTTTGGCCATCAATTCCCAGAGTCTTGTGTAGATTACAAAAAATTGACACTAACAAAATGATACACAAATTAACTAGGAGACCGTTTTTAGTGCAACGTGACGACGCTACTATTTTAACTATTTGCTCTATAGATTATATAATTATAATATTAAAGTTATTTTTTTTTCTCTCTGCACATTAGTCGACAAGTTTATGTAGAAAGAAAGAAAAAACTATAATATTGTAACTATCTACTCTAGGAAATACATATTATATAATAGTATCGTCGCACTGAGTACTAAGTGGAACGGTTCCTTATTATATCTACAAGTGTATATATAGGGAGAAATGAATGTTATGATGCATGACATTTCCTTGTATTATGTCACTCTCACAAAAAAGGATGAGCCCTCTTTTCTTTTTCTTTTTCTTTTTCTTTTTGAGTGACATCAAATTTATTAGAGCAACATGACACAAGGAATACCTGCAACATGACATTCACTTCTCTCCCACACACACACATCTTTGTGTCTGTAAAGTGTGTTCACACAGACACACCCCTCTTCGTGTCATTTAAAATGACACAACTTATGTCATTTAAAATATAAGAAAAAGAAGCCACTAGCATTAGTCTAGTGGTGAGGGGTTATGGTAGGTTGTACTAGATTATGTGTTTAATTTCAACTTGTATAAAAAAAGAAATATATATAGGAAAAAGTGTGTATCATTTTAAATGATATAAGTTTTGTCATTTTATAAACACAAAGAGGTGTATTTTAAATGATATAAGTTTTGTCATTTTATAAACACAAAGAGGTGTGGGTATATATATATATATATATATATATATATATATATATATATATATATATATATGAGGTAGGATCCTTTGACACCGGTGTCAAATTTGAAGTTTGACACCTCATCTGAGAGCCGTTAGATTAAAAAAGATCAACGACTTTGATTTGTAAGCATGTGACACCATTGATCTTTTTTGATCTAACGGCTCTCAGAGGAGGTGTCAAACTTCAAATTTGACACCGGTGTCAAAGGATCCTACCTCTCTCTCTCTCTCTCTCTATATATATATATATATATATATATATATATATATATATATATATAGGGGCATGGTCCTTTGACACTAGTGTGAAACTTTGAAATTTGAGACCAAATTCTAACAGTTGATTTCTGCCAATCAACGATTATCATTTTTTGAAAATCAAACTTGTTAATTAACTATTAATTCCCAATAAATGATAATCGTTGATTGACGAAAATTAAAAGTTAGAATTTGGTGTCAAATTTCAAAGTTTGACTCCGGTATCAAAGGATCTTATCCCATATATATATATAGAGAGAGATAGAATATTGTAACTACCAATTAGTGTTATTATCAATGTCACTACCAATTTGTTTCACCGTTAAAAAAATTATGTTGATCCAACGGTTTTGATTTAACTTTCTAAAAACCTTCTTTCTTCTCCCTGTATTTAATACTCTATATTTATTTTCACCTTTATATGATTATGATTCCTCATATTTAATGCTTTCACATTAAATATGGAGAATTATAACTATACAAAAGTGAAAATAAATATAACCGTTTGGATCAACATAATAGATCTAACGGTAAAATAAACTGGTAGTGTTATTAGTAGTAACACTAATTGGTAGTAACAATATCATATCTCATATATATATATATATATATATAAAAGGAAAATTGTTTGTTATTTTAAGTGAGAGAAAGACACAAACTAATTTTTTATTTAAAATTTAAATTTAAAAGAAAATCATTCACTTTCTCTCCTATGATTTTCATTGCTTGTGTCTTTCTCTCACTTAAAATGACATAATTCTATGTCCTTTAAAAAGATAAATATTAAATCCAATATATATATATATATATATATATATATATATATATATGGGTTTAGTGAGTGTAGTAGTGTACAGTGACTTGATGTAAAATTTGGTCCAGTGCACTAAGTTCTCCCGCGAGAACACAATTATATAGTAAATATTATAACTATGTTCTCCCGGGAGTACACCATTACAATATTTAGTGCACTATGTTCTCGCAAGAGAACTTAGTGCACTGGACGGTCCAGTCACTTTTTTTTTTCATTTTTCCATATATATATATATATATATATATATGGAAAAGTATTTCTACAGTCACTTTAGATAAGATTATCTACAGCTACTCCTTTTTAACTAAGTATGACCGATCATACTTAGTTATAACAATAAAGCTGTTCTTTTTTTCTCTTTCCTCAGACACTGTCGGCTGACGTGACGGAGAGAGAAAATGCAATTTTAATGTATGACCGGTCATACTTAGTCAAAATGGGATAGCTGTAGACAACCTTATCTAAAGTGGCTGCAGAAATATTTTCCCCATATATATATATATATATATATATATATATATAGAAATGTGTATTATTTTAAATGATAAGTTGTGTCATTTTATAGACACAGAGATGAGTTTCACTGAAAAAAAAGGTGCGAGTCTCACTTTTTTGTGTCTATAAAATGATACAATTTATTTCATTTGAAATGGCACACACTAATGATTCAATAAAATAATTTTTTCTTATTCCCCTAATCCGCATAGCTTTTTTCAGTAGCAAATGACACAATTCATTCAACAGTAGAGTTCAGAAAATCATTTTGTATAAGCTAAAACCGGAAAGCAAGGAGACAAAAATGATGTGTGGGACAAGATAGGATTGACCCAATGAAGAAAGTTGGCCGTGAATCTTTGTGTCGCATTTCAAATAATGTAATACGGAATCTTGGCACGAAACTGAAGTGGGATACATTATGATTTTGCTTTCCATTATGTCCAAAAGGGTTGCTTCAACTTTGCTCTTACCACCAACACGTGTTTTGTTTTGATTAATCATGTTTGGCTACAGTCTAATATTTTAAACAACCTCATTTTCATTCATGGTTAAACCAAATGCTTTGCGGCCAAACCCAATTAGGATCATCTCAAAATTTAAAGGGAAAGTAGTCATAATCTTTTTGTGTGCAATAAAGTACCACAAAACTACTTTCTGGTTGGATATTATGAGAAAGCTGATAATTACATTCGCTTGCACTACCAAACAAAGGTTTGGAAGATTGTAGTAAAAAACAAAAAGGGTTTGGATGACTTTTGTTATTTCAATTTTTAGGAAACTGACTCCAAGTTTTCATGAAGTTATTTGTTATTGTCACCTTTTCAGTCATTTCATGTGACGATATATCATATGATATAATCTAGTCACAAGTATCTTTAGTAACTAATAACATTAACATATTTAAAAATTCATAACAACTATTAAAATTTCTCGAATCACGTAACACCTATAAGTCAACTAAATCTGTATAGACCCTAACCCATCTAGGCATTCGTGAAATAATTTATCATACGCTGATTTAATAACCTCATTTATCATTAATTTGAAAATTACTCTCATTAAATCCCGATTAATAAAGATGAGACGAAAATAATTTTTACAGAATAATTATATTGATAAATAAAAA